AGATTATTCTGGACTAGAACTCGCGCGGTTGTAGAGTGATAGTATGCCTTGATCATGGCAATGATTCTGGTTGGTACTCCATTTCCATTATTGGCCACAGGGACTCACGATGGACGGGATCGAACAAAGCTGCGAAGTCGACAAAGCAGACGACTGTCGGTTGCTGATAGTCATGGCGGAATTCCAGAATACACCTCTGTGCATATCTGGTCTCGTTCAGACTGGAATCTTCTGAGAAGGACAGTATTGAAAACTTTCACACGTCGACGAGCCTTATGTCGTGATAATTCTTCCGCTTCGTCTTATATTCCTTTTTGAAGACAGAAATAAGAATGACTGAACCTAAATCACTCGGAAATACTTCGTCTTTACACGCTTGCTCGACCACCTCATGCAGCCACGGCACCTGACTGTCAACACATGATTTGTAGATTTTAGCGGGTCTACCGTCCTCTCCGGACGCTTTGTTGTTGCGCAGCGTTTGTATTGCATCGACAAATTCGTCTTCGGAAGGAAGGTCGCACGAAACTGCATAGGTTTGAAAGGGATAAAACTCCGCTCCAGAGGAGAGGGAGGGTGTGAGGGGTTGCTCATAAAAGTTAAGGAGATGCTCAAGCCAGCGATCGACCTTGACCTAGTTGTCAGCAATGGAGCCGCCTTTCTCATCGCGAACAGAGCCGCAGGGTATCGAGGGCTTACCACTACCTTGGTGGATAATTTGGTAGTTTTCGAGTACCACCAACATTTGAGGCCTGCTCCATAAAAGTCGCTGTTTCGGACCATTACTTCTGCCGGTCATCTCTAACCGACTTTGATGTCAATTTTCGGAGTTGGCGGAAGAAAGCATCGTTGCAGGACCTGGCTTGAGCCGTCTGAGCAGACAGCTGCAGGGTTCTGCCGCCGATACAATCTACGGCGCCATTGAGTGAATCCAATAACTATCAGTCAACCCATAGACAGATGTCTTCAGTGATGACTTCATCAGTTGTTACTTTCGTAAAACGGAGCCAGGTTTTTGTGTTTGGGGCCTCGGTAGTACTGTGTTGCCTGAATTTTGCGACATCAAGGCGTCTCGCACGTGGCATTTTTGGCAGGTGCGAACGATAGCATGGTTAGGCTCGTGGGCGTTACCAGTTTCGGCACCATGCATCAACCTGCTATCGTGGACCCAATTGCGGAACCTTGAACCAGCTGGAATGTAATCGGTCTGACTGGCGTTACGGCCATCATCTAATCACTCGTCATTAGGACTTGGGAAATTTAATAAGGCAGTCGGTGCGCCCGACCTCAGCCCTCCGCACCCTGGTAGCACTGTCGCTGCCGATCCGTGACTGCTTATTCGCCATACCTAGGAGTCTATTTTTTCGCAGCTAAACTTCCACTATCCGCTGTGGACGCGCCGGGTAGCCAGTAACTAGGCTAACGGGTAGCCCTTCTTCCCGGTACCAGTTATCTTCCAGCCTAGTTTTTTATTCGTCTTGTTTAGATGCTGTTGGAGTCGAATTCGCGACTCCATTCGAAGCTAAGCATGACAACTTTAATAAGACCATTCCTTCTTTTAACTGACAATTCATTTTTATGTGTTCGCGCGGTCAAGGGTGTTTTTGATTAAGAAGGAGAAGACGACTCGATCGCTGGGACTATACTTTTAATCGCCTGACGTTTCGAGACCCGTCGCGGATTCGTCATCAGGGACATAGTCAGATATCAGTAGCAGATATGTTTTTGATTGATGGCCAACCTCGGAGCTGTCTGAACGGTTGGAAGATATTCACCGACCGGTGTCCGAGATTCGTGTTGCTTATAAATAGGATGTTCTTAGTGGCACCTATGACGCTTATGCTTTGGAATAAATAAAAAGTTCGGACTTAAAATTAGGAACAGGCAATCACTGGAAAGACGGTTGCCGCAGACGGTACTGTTTGGCTCGCACGGAGCTCGCCTTCTGACTCAAGAATCTTTGCAGTCTGTTAACCCGAAATCGCGGAAAGTTGGGAGGAAGCTCTGTGTTCTCGAACTTTCTTTAAGAAAATTCAACTGATTTGACTCCCCAGTTCCATACCGACACCCAGACAAAAAAGATTAAACCTAACTAAACTGATATAGTTTGGTGTAAGAGCAAATTCATTGGAAGATTGCTTAAACCGACTGCATATTTTCGGCGTCAAGGTAAGCCTACATCGCCTGGGTAGTTCTCCTGTATCTTTTTTTCCAAAGACGGCAGTCCTCGCTCGCCCTGAGGTGTTTTTCGGGAAGTTGTCAAATTTCGATGGTATGCAATGTCTGCTTAGGACGCTTGTGGGCGATCACTAAATCCAGTCTTCGACTGCTTGTACTGTGGCTCTCTATCTGCTGCTTTTCTTTGGGGGCGAATCTGAGACACACGTCGTCTTTTATTACTCCCCCCTCTATTTTAGAAGACCGCCCATCTCCTTGTTCGGGATTTTATCTTGATCCGACTAATTGAGCTGGATTTCTGTGCAGATTTCGACTTCCCAATGCAGAATGATCCCTTTCCACTATTAAAGCAAGTCCTTCTTTCCATGAACCGTGGTCCGCCCGAACCTAGGTATGTGCCAGTAATGTCTTACCTTGCTTCTTTTGTCCTTAGATTTACTTTAACTTTCTTGCATGTACGAAGTTTTACCAGTTCAGTCCCTCAATTTCTTTTTGTCACGCTGCAGTAAGTTTACCGAGAATGGCCTTCTATTTCGCCAGAACTAGCCGTTATTGAAGTTTCGCCTCCTGGGACTGCAAATGCTATCAGTGTTCGCAGTGTGCACTTCAACACCGTCAGTCATTCATAACTATACTGTTGCAATTACTATTTATTTGGGTTATCAACGAACTCATCACTATAGTAAATAGTATGTTAGCTGCACTCGGTGATACTTCATGTTGTTCTATGAACAGAAACGTTAACATTTCCTGTTTAGCAACTTCTGCGCCTAAGGGGCAAACATACCATGCTTTGTAATAGAATACCACAAGCCGGTGCGTGCCAACCGACCATCTGAGAGTACTGAGGATATTTGTTTTTGTGTAGCAGGTCTCTAACGGATTTATCGCCTCAACCATGGGTGACGTCATGGTATCCGTAGCTATGGAAGATGATCGGTCAAATAAACACGTTTCCACTCTCAGCTGTTGTGACTACCCTTCAACACTATCGAACTGATAATTCTTGTCAGTCCTCCGTGCGCCTTTATTGTTAGAAACAGATCGGATTCTATGTCTCCATGCGCCTCGTCGACCGAATCCTTAGGTTCATCCCCCTTTCGAAATCATTGATCCTTAATACCGGTTAACAGAACTTTGTGATGTAATGAAAATTTCGTTAATTGCGCATTGCGAAAAAATCTGTCGGCCCGGCCAAACTTCCCGACGATTCCTCATCTTTGACCTGGATCCACTGCTGTATCTGTCACATCCCGATTCGGAATCAGCGTGCGATATTAGGAACGTACAACCGCCATTAGTTAGAGACTTGCCGCCAATAAGTCCTTTTTTGCCAGAAATGCTGTGGCTGATTTGTATTACCGGCGCAATCTTATCCTACCATCGCTCTAAGCCTGCCGAGGTTCTTTTCACGACGAAACCAATGCTAGTATATGTAAATCAAATACACGGCAATCACAGGATACTTGATAATTTTTATTTCGGTTGATAAACATGACCCCCTAGGTGTGTGTTCATGTTGAGCGACCACAACAGAGCCTGTGGTAAAAGCAATTTATTTTTCTCCTTTCACATTTCTTCAGAGTTCATTAGAATCTGTAGGCTCTCCCGCAGCTGTCCGTCTAGACATGTAAATGCATCAATTTTTGGCCATACGGAGATCCCATCAGAATTTATTTGCATTTCACTTTCTGATTTTCCTAGGCTACAGTGGCAGAGCAGTATGAATACCCTCCTGGCATGCTACCAAATTGGCATTTATAGCGACCAACAATTAATCGGAGAAGGTACGTTCTTCAGGACTCAGATGTCGGTCTCTGGTTTGCATCCTACTATTGCGTGTTCAGGTTTTTGAAAAACGTTGCTAAGACTCACAAGACAGTTACCATAGCTACCACATCCGCACCATGCATTTTTAGTTCCAAACGATGCGTCCCAAGCACTTTGCCATCTGATGTGTCGTATCAAACTTCAAGAGACGAATTTAAGTCTTCCTTCTGGAACTGTAGCTGTCTCAGTTGTGTAGTTACTGCACTTCGGGAGAGAAGCAGTCCCTCGGCGAACTGTTAAGTAACTCAACTTTGGCGGCACCTAAGTAAAACCACTAATTAACGACGTGACTTTTTCCTGATACGCTCAGTTCATATCATTATAAATGTAGGTAAACGCGAATCAAACAGCAAGCAGGTCGCAGGACTTTGCAATCGCAACTTCCCGCATCATTCTTACAACTTGAATGAAACTTTGCTGTCAGATAATTTCCGGTCTCACGTTTTAGCACCCGGCGAGACGCTTGAGATAGCCGAAATGGAAGCCGGTCGGCAGTCGCTACGCAACTTATTCGGCATACACGACAGCCGCCCCTCATTGCCCCTAACTGGTCCCTACAGGCCGCCCGACACTTCCAGACGCAACAAGTCGCTTGCGGATTATGGCTGTAGTTAACCCTTTTTTCAAGTGTACGAAATAAAAATTTCCAAAGCCCCTGTTGCACCCCTTTTCACCTCGGCTCGTACCGGCCGCGGACTATCCCAATAGTTAGTTGGCTTGGAAGATTACCTTCAAAATGACGGCTGAAAATCGAGCTGTTGTTTTGAGAGAGCATTTTATTAGCTTCGACTTGAAGAAATTCTCTCTGGCTAGGATATTTGTTGAATCTGAAGTCACGGAAGTAGATTCCGACTGCAATGCACAATGACTTTATTTCAGGCGTAACGTTAGAAGAGTGGAATGCCCTGAGGGAAATAAAGACATAAAGCATAGTTCAGAAACGGTCCCAAGGGCTGAGCCCGGGAGTAGTATGTCGGCCAGTTCGCTGAGAAAGATTGTGGTAATCGGCTGCATGTACGGCAAAGCTCACACATAGCACGGAGCCTGCCGCAAGAATATGTATATGAAGATTTGGTGGTGAAGTTCCTGTACATAGTGGCGCCCAGAAATCATTGGCCTATATCCATCTCAGAGTCCTCCTCACTCACAAGGTCTCCAGCCTCGTCGTCGCTTGCATCCGTGTCATCATCCTCATCATCTACTTCGTCAGCAGGTACCTCACAATTGACTTCCTGCATGGCACACTGTTGTAAATCACACCCAGATGGAATGGTATCAGCTAGCGCGGCCAACTCTTGTAGTTTGCCAGCGGCGCTCAGGGAGTACCCTTCAACTATTAACTTTGAAACATCAAACTGGCTGTCATCTTCACACAAGACGTTGAGACGTGAACATAAATAATCTTCCAACCACTCAGCAAGATCCTCCTCTAAAATTCGCTTGTGGAGGCGTTGCATTATAAACGGCAGTAAGCCATCAATTTCCTTGGAAGTATTTGGACCGGCGGTCGAAGTACTCTGAGCCAACCGTAGGACAGTCCATGACTGCAGGACTTTCGAGATGAAGTCTGGTAGAGCGGTCATTCGACTAAAATACGAAGAAAATATAGTTTTAGATGAGGCATATTTTGGGAGTAAACTAAAGGGTGGTGGAGATTACTATCTTGCACGGACAACAGGAGGCAAACAATGGATAATCCAGAACTCTCAATTATGTTTGGTTTCCGTGCTTTCAACTGACACGGATATTTATTGTTCTGGCCTGTTCTGCTCACTTCATTGCTATTCTCCTTCGTATTCTAGTTCAGATAGTCGATAGTAAGACGAGTTTAACCCTACGCCAGACTATTCCCTCCGGATTTTCTACCACATCCCGCCCGTCTGCTACTCGTGTGCTGGTGGCTAAATGACCACGATATTAACTAGTAGGTAAGGGGTTTTTAGTCTGGCTATAAGGTGAGGAGAAAATAAAAGGTAGGTAAAACCAGCGTATCGTCGCCAAAATATGCATGGATAAGTTGCTTGAGGCACGTTTGCGGCGACCTCGGTAAACACTTCTCGCGTCCCAAGGGATGAATTCATC